AGAGCGCAGAATTAGTAATTCTCAACAAGTAAAACTTCTTGTTGACTACAAAAATAATGTGTCTCTCTGTACTTACATCTGTAATTAAATGCTGTGCTTTAATTATGTTTGCGAATGACTGATAGCCCCTGAGGGTACATCATTCACAGCACAGTTAGAAAGTCATTGAATGTAATCTGCTTGCCATCTTCATAATTTGGATTTTCATTTCCAGCTATCTGTTTTCGTAAGCAGCAAAAAAAAAGCTACAACCGTTCAGATTAATTTTCTAATTGAAAGTACGCCTGTGCATTCATTAAAACTGAGCTCTGTGCAATCAGATGAATACTTAGGTGGGATCTAGGTACCCCTATCAAATAGTGTAGCCAGATACTCCACTTCACTCCTCTGTGGCAGCAGCCAGCATGCTGATTGGACAGTGAAAGAAAAGCAACACACTGATGAGGTCACCCCTCCACACTCTTCCACTCAACTTTCTAGTAACATATGTTTAGTGCAGCAGGATCTGAGCTGTCCCTAGTATTGACCCTCCTTCTCTCAACCAAGAACCAACGTTCTGTTGTACAGGATTAAAAAGGCTGCTATCTATGCAAATCTAAGTATTAAAAAATAAATTACATTTGTTTTTATTTTGCAGAGGAAAGAATAGTGCAGCGCTGCACTATTCTTTCCTCTGTACAATTTTATAAGGTTGGTGTGTCACTTTTTTGGTGCTAGCAGCTTTCTTTCAGAAGCGCTCACTTGTATTTTTTCTTAGTGTTTTTATTTTATAATGCATGCAATTTTTTGTATTTTACTAAATATCTATCTTAACCCCTTGTCTACCAAATTACATTTATAAGCAACCCAGTGTACAAGGGTTAAATCAAGCTTAGGATGCTCCTACTGAAGAGGTCTCCACCTCTGGACGTAACGCGTATAGGGGGGCGAAGTTGAAGGTGTGACGTCATTCTGCTGCCATCTTAGCTTTTGGCTGTATGCCAGTTCTGTGACAATGCACTCTGCACTAGTAGTGGTATAGTGCTCTATCTTGTAAGTGTGTTTTATATTTAACAGGAGGATTAAACAGTTTTTAAACAGAGAACACTAGGCTCTGTTTCCTGTTTTTTATTTATTTCAGGTACTTATATAGCGCCAACAATTTATGCAGCGCTTTACATATATATTGTACATTCACATCAGTCCCTAACCCTCAAGGTGTGTACAATCTAAGGTTCCTAATTTACATTCATACATATACATACTAGGACCAATTTAGACAGGATCCAATTAACCAACCAGAATGTCTTTGGATTGTGGGAGGAAACTGGAGTACCCAGAGGAAACCCACACAGGCACAGGGAGAACATGCAAACTCCAGGCAGGAGGTGCTGTGGCTGGGATTCGAAACAACGACCCTAGTACTGCCAGGCAGACATGCTAACTGTTTAACCACTGTACTGCCCATATGCTTTTAGATACGTATGGTCCCTCAGTCTGGCAGCTGGATGTGTCCATGTGTGCTGATAAGGAGGGCGAAGACGCTGTGAGCACCAGGAGATTTAACCCTTGAAGGGGGCAAGTGCTCTTATGACCTTACTGGTAATACAGGGGTCAGTCTTGAGTTGAGCAGCCAGTTATTCCACTTGTGGTGGAGACACTATGAGCACTTTAAAATTGTATTTGATGCAAGATATGATACTTCATGATCACAGTAGTGATACAGAATCTTTGGACTTTATTATATGATTATTAACCTTGGACTTCTACTTTCTATTTATATTTTTTTGCTTTAATGTTGGTTTTATGTTAAGGTTGCGCTACACTAAATTTGGTTAAAGTGTTACTCTGGTCTCCCACAGAACACACAACATGGAAATGCAATTATTTTAGTAAATATAAACTGCTAAATACCTACAGTATACAGCAGTCTTGTGATTTCTATTAAAATCTGGCAAAGCGCTAGTTAATCTTGTAGGAGGAGTTTTCTCTCTCCTCTGACTGTCCTATGAGGCTGCACGACATCTGACACTCTCTCTGGACAATGCTGATTGGCTCTGTGCTGATCACATGCACCCTCCCCCCAAAAAAATGAGACAAACCCTCTAGCAATACACACCAAACTGAACATGTGCAGACTGCCTCCTAGGACTCTGTACTATCAGGAGATAGATTTAGGACAGTGGAAGAAGGGGATGATCAGAGAAGACAGGATCAAACAGCCTTTTTACATCCCCTCCTCTAAAATTGCATGCTAAGGTAGGCAGAGGAGGGGGGAATGTCTTAAAGTGGAACTTCAATTTTAAGGTGGCACTCCGCTTTCAATTTTGTGACATGTATTCACTATGCCCTGTGTGTAGGCACTGCTGTGTCACACATTTCACAGAGCCTGCCTTCTGAACTACAGAGGTGCTGAGAGGAGGAGTTTAAAGAGGCGGAGTCAGCACAGAAATCACTGCTTGCAGGTAGCAAGTTACCATGGGATATGTAGTCCATAGAGATTGAAAGTAAACAGCAGAGGAGAAGCTGCAAAACATGCTGGGAATCCAAGAAGTTGTGAAAATAGATGTATAAATAGAATATAAATGCATCATACATACTAGGGGGGTACAACTGGGGGAATCAATGGTGGAGAAGGATCTGGGAGTTCTGGTAGATCACAAGCTTAATAATGGCATGCAATGCCAAGCTGCGGTTTCTAAAGCGAGCAAAATCCTCTCTTGTATTAAAAGAGGTATAGACTCCAGAGAGAGAGATATCACATTACCCCGGTACAAATCATTAGTAAGACCTCATCTGGAATATGCAGTTCAGTTTTGGGCACCAATTCATAAAAAGAACATTGGGGAACTGGAGAAAGTACAGAGAAGGGCAACCAAACTGATAAGAGGCATGGAGGAGCCCAACTATGAAGAAAGATTAGAGAGACTAAATGTATTCCCTCTTGAGAAGAGGAGATTAAGGGGGGATATGATCTCCATGTATAAATACATCAGTGGTTCATATAGTGAACTCGGTGTAGAGCTATTCACCTTGAGGTCATCACAGAGGACAAGGGGGCACTCTTTGCGTCTGGAGAAAAAGAGATTTAATCTCCAAATACAGAAAGGTTTCTTCACAGTAAGAGCTGTGAAAATGTGGAATAGACTCCCTCAAGAGTTTGTTCTGGCCAGCTCAATGGATTGCTTTAAAAAAAGTCCTGGATTCTTTCTTGGATACACAGAATATAACTGGATACTAACATTTATAGGTAAAGTTGATCCAGGAAATATCCGATTGCCTCTTGGGGGATCAGGAAGGAATTTTTTCCCTGCTGAAGCAAATTGGATTATGATTTGCTGATTTTTTTTTTTTTTTGCCTTCCTCTGGATCAACTGTGGGTATAGGATTATAACTTTTTTTGTGGTTAAACTGGATGGTATTTTGTCTTTTTTCAGCCAGAATAACTATGTAACTGTACAAGTATGTATGTTCATATAATGCTGTTGTTACACAATGGATATGTAAGCTGTGACTTTAAATCTCCTTTAATACATGAGTACTATGGACTAGCTATTGATACAGTTTAGAAGTGGCTGGTTGTCTGACTGAAACTTCAGGTTTATGATAAGCTCAGACTCATAGAGAGTTTTCAACTGACCATAAATAGATAAGGATACATATGTGATAAAAAGCCTTCAGCTCCATCAAAAATATTAATATGCAATAAGTCCTATTTACCTGGCTTACAATTGTATTTTTTTAGCCCACACCATAACAAATAATGAAATATGTACAAAGCCACTGAACATTCCATTTAATAAAGGGACTTTTCTTCCTGGACAGAATTCGCATTTTGCCCATTGATTTTACACTATGCCAGGGGTTGATCTCTAAGTCCTTTTATAAAAGGTAGCTAGTATTTTGAGGTATTTTTGTCTTTTTAAAACGCGTAAGTAAACTTTGCACACAATACTGAGCTATAATTTTAAAGGCTTTACAGCGACAAGTGTTTTTCAGAGGCAATAAATGTACCAATAAAAATGATTCAAACACATGAGGGTTTAAGCACAAAAAAATTGGCTAAATAGCGCACAGAAGGCCAAACAAAATTAATTTTCTTCTTGATGGTCTGATAGGCAAGCACTTTTAAAATGTACATTAAATCTCTTACCATAAACACATTTTCATAGATGGCATCATACATTTTGGAAGCATCATTGATGTCCTTAGGGTCCACTGAATGTAAATATAGTTAAACTCATTTTTTTATGTTGAATAGGATCTATTCTTGTTTATAGAAAGAATATGGCTTCATCCTCAAATGTAGTGATGTATGGTATATCTAAGCCATGCCAGGCTTTGGTTGTGCTTATAAAGACATAAAGCATATAGAGAGATCTTAAAATATCCTTGGAAATGAGGGTAGTTACTTGTGGAGGTATACTAGGAACATGTCTGCACAGCCATTATAAAATTAAGTCTCCTTTATACTACTTTATATTTTTTTTATTTATATATATATATATATATATATATATATATATATATATATATATATATATATATATATATATATATATTAGATAGATAGATAGATTTGATAGACAGATTTTTTTTAATCTTAAATGCGTTCAAATTATTTTGTGTTGCCTTACAAGATATACTAAGGAAAGTGTACCTGTATTGTTGACTACTTAGTTGCATAGGCTACTTTACACAGAGAGTACCACCATGAAAACATGAAAATGGAAAGTGTTGGTAAGGGCAAGACCAGCTTTTAAAGTTAAAATGGTCGTAAACCTCGGACATGAAATATGAACAAAGCATATTTGTATATAGCGTTTGCTTGTCTCAATCCAGAGTACTAAGTGTCATTTGTGCCTGCTGCCTCATTCTTCTGCTATAAGCATAAGACACTTCTGACAAGTTTTTTCCTGACGCCAAGAGAAAAATGGCCACAGCCTGTGATTGACAGCCTCAGCTCTGTTCCTGTGTGCTGTGAAGGGGGGGTGTCTCTTACCTCCACTCAGCTCTAGGAGGATGTAGGGGAAAGAAGACGTAGATAACAGGGGCGGACTGACAACTCATGGGGCCCCCGGGCAATAGGGGATCATGTGGCCCTGTGTCCTTGCCCAAACTCAAAAAAGCCTATGAAAAAGGTACCAGAGGCATCTCATGGGGCCCCCTACTGACACCGGGCTCTCGGGCAGTGCCCGAGTTTCCAAATGGTCAGTCCCCCCCTTGTAGATAAATAGGCACAACTTATGTAGAAGGATTTGTTTCATCTCTGTGTATCACCTGAGGCCAGTCACTTCACTGGGTAGATGGAAAGGTTTACAACCAAAAATACAATAATAGCAAATAAATCATCTTCATCCAAATGATCAAAACCCCATATGTCAGTCACAGACTGTGAACACCAAACTGCATAACATCATCTGACACCCCATTCTCATCTAGTTCCAGACAGTTGCAGAAATAGCCAAACCACAGATCTGGCAGAACTTAGAAAGCAACAAACGACTGTAAAAAAAACCCACAGCCAATAAAACTGTGACCATAAACAAAGCAAAATATCAGAGAGGGAGGTTGGGAACTTGCATGGTGGGCAAACGAGACCCAGGTCAGTGTGACTGCTCTTTGCAACCTCTTTAAGCAATACCAAACCCAAAATCATAAATGTTTTCTATTGAAGCTTACCAATTGTTAGATGTGGCGGCTTTTTTCCTTTTTTTAAGGGTTTTTCCCTTGTTTCCTTCACAAATTAGTAAGTTTCTTATTTTATTTTTTATTTCTTTTAATCAACCAAGCTATCCAGCAAAAGTGTCAGTTAGAGGTTCACGACAAACCATTTAATACCGATGGGGGTGCTTACAATAGTTATCTATTCATTTATGTAAAACTTTTATTCCAAAAAGGAAACAAATTGTTGCTGTAACTGCAACCACTAAAGCTCCAAAAGATTGTACCCCCTTCGTGACCAGACAATTTTTTGCTATTTTTTTTTTCCAAAAAAAGTTTTTATTTTGAAATAAGAAAGGCATAACAAGTCATATACGGATACGGAACACAGTCCGTGCATAAACATCTGTCTTAATCTCCCGTAGCGCAGACGGGTCATAAATTGTTTATTTGAAGTATAAATTACCCTGATACAAAAGATCACATTATAGTAGATGAATGAACTAGACCAATAACAGTGCTGATTATGATAGGTAGTCTGGAGAATTATAGTGGATGCTGCTCTTATGAGTAGGGATTACTCAAATAATGGGACTATGAAGCGTAGTACAATGTGTCCTCTGAAGGCGTACAGTTCTTCTGTGTCCGTAGCCGGGGAATATAGGGTTCTTATTGTGAAAGACAATCATACCTATATATGAAAGGGCACTCTGTCCCTCATAGAAGAAGTAGTTACTTGTAGAAGAAAAAGGTGTGAAGAAAAGTAGGAAAGGAAAGGAGAAAGGAAAAGAAGAGAGAAAGACACATCAGGTGAAAAGAGGTGGGAAGAGTAACATTATAGAAGGAAGGGGATAAAAAAAAAAAAAAAAAAAAAAAAAAAAAAGGGGGGGGGGGGGGGGAAGGGGTGGAGCCGATCAAATAATGAATAGTGGCTGTCAACCAATCATATCATGGAGCATTATTTATGGTAACTTAGATTATACCTTTATGTAAGATATAGTCTGGGTAGACACAGTCTGTGGAGCAATTCTAGAGGTGAGAACTCAAAAGGTTTTTGTGTTTTGGATCTCGTCTCATTCATTCATATAAAGACGATAAACACTGGTGGTTTGAAAATGTTTCCAGCACGCCCAAGTCTTCCTGAATCTCTCGGGGTGTTCTTTTGCCACTGAAATCAGCTCCTCCATCTCCGCAATCCTAATGACCCTAAGAAACCACTCCCGCACAGTGGGAACCTGTTTTGATCGCCAGTGAACAGGGATACATTGTTTTGCCGCGTTTATCATGTGTAAGGCAAGAGACTTACGATAAGTCCGAAAAGGAAGTGAGGAGTGGTGGAGTAAAAATTGTGCAGGGGTGAAGTCTAGATTATGCGTGGTTACTTGTGAAACTAAGTCTCGCACTTTTCTCCAAAAGGGCAGCAGCAGTGGACAGTCCCACCATATATGTAGGAGTGTACCCTTTGCCCGTTGACATCTCCAGCACAAATCCGAAACATCAGGATCAAATCTATGAAGCAAGGATGGAACTCTGTACCATCTAGAATATAATTTATAGTTGTTTTCTTGAGTAGAGACACATATGGAACCTGTATGCATATGATCATAGATGTGATCCCAATCTTCCGGTGACAATGGCAGTTGTAGGTCGAGCGACCAAGCCTCACATGCCTTTCGAGGTTGAGACATATTGGCGGTATCCAGATAGGAATAGAGCTTGGATATAACATGTCTCTGGGGGACGTCCGTAAAGCAAAGTTTCTCAAACGGAGTAAGTGGCCTTGAATAATCTTGCATATGTGGGGAGCTTCGTATAAAGTGATGAAGTTGTCTAAACATCCATGGCGTAAATATTAGGGATGGCCATGTCTTCATAATGTCCTCTCTAGATAAGAACTTCTTATCTTTGAAAAGGTGACGTACCGTCAGGTTGTCTGGACAATTATCTCCGGCTAGGAAGGCCCGGGACATACCCGGCAGAAAGTCTGGATTCATTTTGATCGGAGTTAAGGGACCCGGAGAGGAAGAGAGTTCTTTTTTCCGGAACAACTGATGGCAACAGCTTAAGGTAGGACCTATAAGAGGGTGTTCCCGAAACTCTGAAGGAATATGAGAGTTTTCCAGCCAAGGGGAAGGGGCAAGTGGTATCGTTGAGAAATCTGCCTCCAAACCAACCCAAACTTTACAATTGTGGGTCGTGGTCCAATCTACTACCCTGGCTAGGTGACAAGCCCTGTAGTATCGGGCAATATCAGGCAATCCAATACCTCCACCGTTTTTGGGCATGGTGAGTTGGGCAAAGCTAATTCTTGGGCGTTTATTAAACCAAAGAAAGGAGGTACAGAGTGTTTTATAAGATGCGAAGAAAGAAGATGGTAATTTAATTGGTATTGTTTGCAGTAAATACAATATTCTAGGAAGCACGTTCATCTTGAGAATGGCAGCTCTACCAAACCAAGAGAACCAAGGTTTATTCCAAGTTTGAAGGTCTGTGGAGATATTACGCAAGAGGGGTAAGAAGTTTTTATCGTAAAGTTCCGTTAGGTGAGTTGGTAATTGGATACCCAGGTACGTGATCGCCTTCGACTGCCAGGTAAAAGGAAAATTCGATTTCGCTTGTCTAAACACATCTTGGGTCAAGGAGACATTAAGGGCTTGAGATTTAGAGAAGTTAATTTTGAAGTTAGCCAGATACTGGAACAATTTGAATTCTTGTAGCAGATTAGGTAAAGTGATATGTGGGTCTGTTAGGAAAAGTAATATGTCATCAGCAAAGGCTGCTATTTTATGAATTTTGCCTTTTATCAGAATCCCCTTGATGTTATCATTCTGTTTGATGCAATTCAACAAAGGTTCCAGTGTCAGAATAAATAAGAGGGGGGATAAAGGACATCCTTGTCTAGTCCCATTACCTATCGAAAAGGAGTTCGAAAGGAGACCATTAACTCGCACTTTAGCTGTGGGAGTGGTATATAGAGACATGATAAACGCCAGGAAACGCGGAGGCAATCCAAGTCCAATCAGAACTGCCTCCATGTAATCCCACGCCAGTCTATCAAATGCCTTTTCTGCATCTAAAGATAGAAAGAAGCCAGAATGTTGTTTTTGAGTTAACCAATGATGAATATTTATGGCCCTTATTGTGTTGTCTCTAGCCTCCCTCCCTGGTACAAAGCCCACCTGGTCTGTTGAGACGATGGGATCTATGATGCGTAATAGACGATTGGCCAGGATTTTGGCAAAGATCTTTAGATCAACGTTTAATAGAGAGATCGGACGGTAGTTCGCTGGAGAGGTTTGGTCCTTATTCTCTTTTGGTATGACCGTAATATGAGCCTCAGAGAGATGGCGCATGGACTGCCCTGGTGTATCTAAAGTATTAAAGGCCCGTAGAAATGGTTGTGCTAAGATGTCACTAAAGGACTTATAGTACGAAGTGATAAACCCGTCAGGACCTGGACTTTTACCAGGTTTCAATTGTGCAATGGCTTGTTGTAGCTCCGTCAGGGTCAAGGCGCCATCTAAGTCTTGCGCTTTTGTTCTAGAAATAGGGTTTGCCATGTATCTGGTCAGGAAGGTCTGAATAATAGCCTCACGAGGCCTAGTGTCTCCTGTCGGTTTAGAAGGTATGGGCAAATTGTAGAGAGAGGAATAGTATTGCTCAAATTCAGCTGCAATAATCGGTGATGTTTTCAGTGAGCGACCCTGCTTGGAAGTGAGCTGATAGATTTGCTGAGCTGCCCTTCTAGATTGCAAGGCCCTGGCTAGAAATTTGCCACTCTTGTTTCCATGTTCATAGAAAAGTTTCTGTTGTAGAGTAAAATTACGTTTGGTTTTTTTTTCAACGACCTCTTGGAGTTAATTTTTTGCTATTTAGCACTACACTAATTTAACTGGTAATTGTGCAGCCATGCAACACTGTACCCAAACTAAATGTATATCTTTTTTTCACACAAACCGTGTTTTTCTTTTGTAGGTATTTTTTATTTCTTTCCAATATCAACTAAAAAAGACCAAACATTTTGAAGAAAAAAAAAAATTACCCTCTGCTACAAAACATATCCATTAATAGGAAAAAAAAATTCTTCATACATTTTTGCTAAAATATATTCTGCTACATGTCTTTGATAAAAAAAATACCATAAGTGTATATTTTTTGGTTGAAAAGTTATAGTGCCTACAGTATGGGATTTATATTGGACTTTTTTTATATTACGAATGGCAGTAAGCAACTTATAGTGGGGCTGCAGGAGTGCGGCCAGCAATCTGACACTAACTGATGCAGGGGGAACTGACTAACTGTCACTGACATCACCAGTGACATTAATACAGCGATCAGAGATAATACTATACACCAGGGGCGAACTGACCATTCGAGCACTCGGGCACTGCCTGAGGGCTCGGGGTCAGTAGGGGGCCCCATGAAATGCCCCTGGTACCTTTTATAGGTTTCTTTGGGTGTGCTTTGAGTGTGGGCAAGGACACAGGGGCCCCATGATCCCCTATTGCCCGGGGGCCCCATGAGTTGTCAGCCCTTTTTACTAATGATGAATGAAAATTA